GTTTGGGCAAACACTCTACTGGCTTCAATGATTTGTGATAGAAGGGAATGGTTATCGATGAATTAGCTGATAGGTGCTGCAACAAATCTGGACAGTCTGAGTTTCGAGTTGTTTTTAGTGGTGTACTAGAGTTTGTGGAACCATCGCAACCAAGTGGTGTTTAAAAATTCACATCGTTTGGATGAAAAGGTGGTTCGTCATGTTTGTGAATAATAATAATAATAATAATAATAATAATAAAGTAGAGATAATTAGACAAAGGGTGAATGGCATCCCATGCTCGAGCTTGAATCAGTGTTGGAGAGCCCCAAATGTGGGTTTCTTCAAGGTAAACTTTGATGGTACATGTTTTGCGAGGCATGGAGCTATCACCATCGGAGTGTTTTAGGGAATGGAAAAGAGAAGCGATTGCATCTATGACCAAAAAAAAATAAACAAATATATAAATAACTTATCAACAGTAGAGGTAGATTATGTCGAAACTTTGGCAGACCTGAAAGCAATTCAATTTGCACATGATGTTGGTTTACATGAGATAACTTTGGCTGGGGACTCACTAATGGTTATTCCTGATCTCCAGTTACAAACTGAGAAGTTGTCGAATTATGGTCACTTGGTGAATGCTGAGTATCTTCCGTTGTTTTGAGGATGGAAAATTCAACATGTACGGCGTCAAGGAAACTCCGTTGCTCATTGTCTAGCAAGAATGGCGGTAGACTTGGAGGGTGTTGTAGTGTGGATGGAAGAAGTTCCAGAATCGCTATCTTCTTTAGCCTTCTGTACACTGTGTGCTCTGCTATCTGGTATAGCTGCAGCTGCGGACTGTTTGAACTGCTGTGATAAGTGGTTGGACTGCTGTGTTAAGTGTTGCTGTGTTGATTTCTGTGTTGAATCTTCATCATGGAAAACAGAAGCGATTGCATCTATGACGAAAAAAAAATAATAAATAAAAATAAATAAATAAATAAATAAATAACTTATCAACAGTAGAGGTAGATTATGTCGAAACTTTGGCAGACCTGAAAGCAATTCAATTTGCACATGATGTTGGTTTACATGAGATAATTTTGGCTGGGGACTCACTAATGGTTATTCCTGATCTCCAGTTACAAACTGAGAAGTTGTCGAATTATGGTCACTTGTTGTTTTGAGGATGGAAAATTCTAACATGTACGGCGTCAAGGAAACTCCGTTGCTCATTGTCTAGCAAGAATGGCGGTAGACTTGGAGTGTGTTGTATAGTGTGGATGGAAGTTCCAGAATCGCTATCTTCTTTAGTTCTCAGTGAAGCATTAGCTACTATTATTTTAGTATCTTATGCTATCTATATATATATATACATATCTTATAAAATGAACAATTTAAATCATCAAAACGGGACCTATGGTGAGCCTTACAGACTCAGAAGGGACCCTCCAATTTAAATCAGGGACAAGAAAGAAGTCCGTCCAATAAAAAAATAAATAATAGATAAATCAACAAATTTATATCTATACATATGTTTTTAAAGACAAATAAATAAGTAAATTTTGTAAGTTGCTAGTTATGAAGCTCCACTACATCTATAGGGGTTCTCTATATCATACATGTATTAAATCCTGATACTCTTTGCGTATTCAAAAACATGTATTTAATATATGTATTAAATAGAGAAAATTTTATTTTAATCCCTATACTTTGCCTTGATTTTTAATTACACCCTCAGATTTTGAATAATTTCAATTTTATCCCCAAAGTTTTTGAAATCGTATTAATTTTTCCCTTACCATCACATTTGAAACGAAAAAAGTTAAAAAAAAAAAAAAACATTTTGACCCCAAATTTGTAATGAAAGATGCAAACCCACCCTCTCCTACCACTACAACAAAAATGGATTTTTACGACGTGCAATGTACGCCGTAAAATCCCTTCTACGACGTGCAGCACACGTCATATTATGACCAGTCATGGAAAGTCATTCACTTTCAATGAAATGCTTCGTACGTCGTTAAAAACTATTTAATAACAGATTTTGTGCGTCGTTGTTACTTTTTCTACGACATGCTATAGTACGCCGTTAAAAACTATAGTACGCCGTTAAAAACTATTTAACGGTAGATTTTGTGCGCCGTTGATACTTTTTCTATGACTACTTTTGCACGTCATTAATTGGTGAGTCAAATAACGATGCTAATTGTGAGCCGTAAAATATGTAATACGACGACTTATTATGCCTGCCATAGAATATATAGTTTTTTTTTTTTAGTTCAACAGGTTCTATTTTACCTATTCTGTACAATCTAACTAGAATTACAAACAAGTTTTGCAAAATATCAATCAACCACCAAAATATTGTTTCAAGTATCAAAAAGAAACTATATTCATAAGTTATGAACATTAAAAAATTATCTATACATTCCAAACATCTAAAAACTATCTTTAAGTTCAAAACCATCTAAAAATCCTAAAGCTCTAAATTGTCCAAAAAGTTCTAAACTATCCAAAAACTATATTCTAAACAAAATCCAAAACTATCCAAAGATTAGAGAAATCCATTCGTCAATGTCATATCAAAAACTATTCATAGATGTTAGAATTTCTACTCAAAGTCAAAGTTGATGAAATGGATTGTCAAGCAACAGTGCTTCCAACAGTATCCTCAAGCACAAACATCTCACGATCATGCATAGCGGTAGGGTCTCCAACCAAAAGAGCAGCTGAACTGGCAGACCTCTGTGATTCTAAATAAGTTCCAGATATTGCATTTCTTGTCTGCATGACAAAGGGAACTTCACATAAGTATAAAAACCAACGACTAAGAGACAAAGATTTCTTTAGGTATTAAGAAATGATTAAGAAATTTTAAAACATCAACAAAATATTTCCAAAATTAATAAGATAATTCAATGGCCCCATAATAAAATCAAATGAACAGGCATCACCAAATTGCTTAGTGTCTATGGAGCATAATCAAAAGCAGCCAGTCTGTTTTCGTTGTCAAGACAAATTACGGTAGACCAATTGCAAAACTAGAAAGATCCTGAGAGAGAAAATTTTCTTTTTCAAAGAATTAGAGATATTACTCTCTGTAAGGGAAAACTCGAAGAGAAAAGTATGACCGTTGGTGCGATCCTGAGTTCCATTGAGGCCTGGCATGACCATGATTGTTCCAAAGAAGAGAAAGATCATCTAGTTCGAAGTACTAAGAAGATCAAAAATATATCTCATTTAGCTGATGATGGTATGGAGGTACAGAGCTCAGTGGGAGATACACAGGGGAAGGCGAACCCTACCCTCTCGCTACCTGAGGAACCCATGTTGGAGGCCCCCCCTAAGCCAGCAGCAGGAAAATATGGCCGAAGATCCACCTCCTCCCACGGAAGGGCATTCAGATCAAGTTCGATCATTCAAACAAGCTTTGCTGCGATCTCGATTTAATGAATGTGGAAATGAAAAGAATTTTGACTGTGATGTGGAGACACTCTCTTCGGATGAAGATGATTTGGCCAACGACATCACTCTTGAGGGTCATATGGAGATCAACGACGAAAATAGGGCAGGTATTCCTAAATGTACCATACCCGCAAATATGGTAAAAAAGATTAGGGATCCTTAAAAAAAATGTTTGATTCTAAGGTTGCTAAGGAAGAAAATAGGGCATAAACTATTTATAATCAAAATGACAAAGATCTGGGGCCTTCAAGCTGACTTTGAAGCCCTAGACATCGGAAATGGCTTTTTTATTGTCAAGTTTGATATGATGGAAGATTATACTAAAGTGTTCACAGGTGGCCCATGGGTTGTTCTGGACCACTATGTGACGGTGAGAAAATGGCAACAAGATTTCAAATCTGATGAGGCTGAAGAAGATACCACTGCCATCTGGGTGTGTTTCCCTAATCTGCCGATTGAGTATTATGATGAGAAAGTTCTGTATCGTATCGCGAAGATCCTAGGGGTGCCTCTGAAGGTGGATATAAATACGGCCATGGCAGCTAGGGGGAAATATGCTAGAGTTTGTGAGGAAATTGATCTTCGAAAACCACTGATCTCTCAGTTTTCAATAGGTAAATATACATATGTTATAGAATATGAACACTTACATACTCTTTGCTTTTCTTGTGGCAGGGTGGGACATCGTAAAGAAAGTTGCAGCGATAATGTTTCACCAGTGACACCCATCCCCAACCACGACCCCATCGGAGAAGACAACCGTAGGAAGGAGGCTCCTTTAAATGGGCTGGACTCATATAATGGAAGAGCTAAAGAAGGGACAGAGACTGATAAATATGGGCCTTGGATGAAGGCCACCACAAAGAGAAGAATGAAAGGCCCAAACAATTCTAAAGGGCCCAATGCCCATGTTCGTAATAGATTTGAAGCTCTGAGTAATGTTGAAGCCCAACCTCAGATGTTCGAAGGCCTAAATCCTTCAAGGTCAGTTCCTAATAGGCCAGATCAATCTGCTTTGGAATTACATCACAAAGACCATACTACTAAGCCAACAGACAACATGGCTAAGTTGGGTTCATCAAGTGAATTGGTTATGGATAACCGGAGAGAGGAGATTAGACAAGGCAAACAGACGAGTTGCTCTACTGCAACAAGTTTTCAGAAGTCAGAACAGGAAGTAAGGGGGTCTATGTCATCCATCCTAGTCCCCAATAGCCCCAGGACTTTTCAACAAACTAAAGGCAACCCTAAGGCAAAGGTTAGAGAACAACCAGATCATCATGGAGGAAGAATGAGAGAATTATCCAATAGAGAAGCACATTCTAAACATGCACAAAGTCTTGCTAATACTTGCACCAGACAAAGAAGTGTTTCACCTCGTCACCTCAGAATGGTGGATAGAGGGAGCAAAGCTGAGAATCCAACCTTGGAGACAAATCGAAGACAGCCAGGAGTGGCACTTCATAGCAGTAACACCAACCTTGTCAATGGAGGACAACCAGTGTAAAGCTAAGGGTATTCTGGGCTTGTCTAACCAGAACACTCTCCCTACCCTCAACCAGTCATCTATGAATCTGTTGGTTTGGAATTGTAGAGGTGCAGGTAATAAGAAGTTTCGTAGGAATATGAGGGAATTAGTCCAAACTAACAAACCTGATTTGCTAATCCTTATGGAGACTAAGGTCGAGTTCAGCTCTATGGGCATGTTCTTTAATAGGATGGGCTTCACTGCTTCTTCTCATGTAGATCCCATCGGTAGAAGTGGGGGTATCTGGATAGGCTGGAACCCCATCCTAGTGAATGTGAGAGTCACTAAGGCTAGTTCCCAGTTGATCACGGCCACCATTTCGAGGCAAGACTATCTTGATTGGATTTTATCTGCTATCTATGCTAGTCCTATTAGTCAAAAAAGGGATGAGCTGTGGAATAATTTGGAAAGAAGTTTCCAAACTATCACTGATCCTTGGCTTTTAGCTGGGGATTTTAATGATTTTGCTTCTCTAGATGAAAAAAGAACCATGTCTGGAAGCCAAAACCAAAGTCAAGAACAAAGGAGAGCTTGGAAATTTACTGAGAGGGTGAACAATTGCAACCTGATGGACTTGGGATGTACAGGTCCTTAGCTCACTTGGTCTAACAATAGAAAGGGATGGGCTAATACTATGGTGCGACTTGATAGAGGCATGTGCAACACTGAATGGAGGACGAGCTTCCCTGATGGTTTGGTTCAGAACCTCCCTCATACCTACTCTGACCATTCTCCTTTGACGATTTTCACTCAAGGTAAACATTCCTTTAACCATGTCTGTAAACCATTTAAATTTGAAGCTGCTTGGATCTCTCATGAAGAGTTCCAGTCAGTAGTGGATTCTAATTGGCAGTTCCCCTCTTCATCTTTGATGGATAAGCTTGTTAACCTTACTAGTATAATCACTGTTTGGAACAAAGAGGTGTTTGGTAATATTTTTCGAAAAAAAAATGGTTACTTGGTAGAATTGAAGGAATTCAAAAATCCCAACTGTGTAAATTTTCCCATAACCTCCATCTCTTGGAGTTGGACTTGGTGGAACAATATAACAGAATCTTGTACCAAGAGGAGCTCCTTTGGTTTCAAAAATCGAGGGCTAAATGGCTTACCCAAGGGGAAAGAAACACCAAATTTTTCCATCTTTCTACTTTAGCTAAGAGGAGGAGGTGTAAAATTGTCATGCTTAAGAATGATGCAGGGACTTGGATTGATCAAACTGAGAGTCTTAAAACTCTGGTCATTGATTATTTCAAGAACCAGTTTTGTTCTTCTTTTACTGTTGGTTTGGCTCATTGGAATAATCACATTGCTTGTAAAGTTGATGTTACTGATAACTATTCTCTCACTAAGTCTGTGAGTAATGAGGAAATCTGGCAGATTGTTAAACAAATCCAGGCTTTCAAAGCTCCTGTGAGAGATGGCTTCCAAGCTATTTTCTACCATACTTATTGGCCTATAGTTGGGCCTAATGTCTGTGCATTTGTTAAGAATTGTTTTGTCAACAAGTGTATCCCTCCTTATATTAATAGAACACTTGTGGCCCTGATTCCCAAAACTGAGAATCCTGAGACTATTAAACATTTAAGGCCTATTAGTCTGTGTAATGTGACTTATAAAATTATTGCCAAAATCCTTGTTAGTAGACTAAGACCCCTCTTAGCTAAACTTGTCAGCCCTTATCAAAGCAGTTTTGTTCCTGGGAGAACTATCAGTGATAATATCATCATTACCCAAGAAATTATCCATACCTTGAACTAGAGAAAAGGTAGAAATTGAGGGATGATTCTTAAAATTGACCTTGAAAAAGCCTATGATCTTGTTTCTTGGGATTTCTTAGAACAAACTCTGGTGGAATTCAATTTTGAGGCTAACTTTATTGAGCTCATTATGAGCTGTGTGACTTCTATGCAAACTGCCATTCTCTAAAATGGTGAACCCCTTCAAGAATTCAAACCTAGAAGATGGCTGAGGCAAGGAGATCCCCTCTCCCCATATCTTTTTGTCTTGTGCATGGAAAGACTCTCAAATATGATCATTGCCACCTCTGAAGGTAATCATTGGAAAGGCATTAAGACCTCCAAGTATGGTCCCTGTCTCACTCATTTGTTCTTTGCTGATGATCTAATGTTGTTTGCTAAGGCTGACTTGGCTCATTGCAATACTATCATGAGGATCATGTCTGAGTTTTGTGATTTATCTGGCCTTAAGATTAATGCCCTTAAGTCCAAGATATTTGTTTCTCCTAATGTTGATAAACATAAGGCTAAAGAGCTGAGTGATAAGTGTGGTATTCCTTTAACTTCTGATTTAGGGAAATATGTGGGGGTTCCTCTTATTCATGGCAGAGTGAGCTGGAGACATTATAATGGCATTCTTAATAAAATGCAAATGAAACTTGCTGGGTGGAAAACTAGTGTTTTATCACTAGTTGGCAGAACTACTTTAATCCAATCTGTTAGCTTTGCTCTTCCTGCCTATACTATGCAGACTGTGGCCTTTCCTAAAAGGGTTTGCAATGATATTGATAAAATGAATAGAAATTTTCTCTGGGGTGACACCTTAGAGAAAAAGAAAATTCATTTGGTCAAGTGGAATGTTGTCTGTCAGCCAAAAAGCAATGGTAGGCTTGGCATTAAGAAGGCCAATGATCAAAATCTTGCCCTTCTATCTAAACTTGGCTGGAAAATGATTCGTCATGAGGATGGTCTTTGGAAAGAGGTCCTTAAGGGTAAGTATATGAGGAATAATTGTCTTCAGGCTTATTCTAGAGGTAAGAAAGCTTCTCATACCTGGAGAGGCATTCTAAACTCTAGAGCCATCTTGAGGAAAGAGGTTAAATGGACAGTTGGTAATGGTGCAACTGTTAACTGTTGGAAGGACTGGTGGTGTGGTGATAAGGCTTTTGAGGATCTTACCCTTAGTAGCTCACAGGCTGCTCCCTTTTGGGAGAATGATGTTAATGTGAACAACCTGATATCTGAGCAAGGAAGTTGGAATGAAACTGTCATCTGTGATATACTGCCTCCTGTAGTAGCATCTATCATTCTGAACAGGCCTTCTCCAACCTCTCTTGAGCCTGATGAACCCAACTGGAAAGGCTCAGTAGATGGGATTTTCTCATCTGCTAGGGCCTATGATCTGGTGAGTGGTAATCAGCCCCAAGGTGAGGATTGGCATTGGCTCTGGAAGTTACGGATTCCACAGAAATTGAAAGGGTTCTTGTGGTGTTGTATCCATGGGAAACTCCTCACAAATAAACTTCGTTTGAAAAGGGGTTTATCTTTGGAGGCCACTTGCCCCTTTTGCTGTAAAGAGGAGGACATGATTCACCTCCTTAGAGACTGCTTTAAAGCAAAGGAAGTGTGGTTTGCTATTTTTGGAAGGCATTGGTACTTGAATATGTGTAGCAAGCCTTGGAAGGACTGGATCATTTGCAATTCAGAAAACAAAAACCATTTTAATGATAACCTTACTGTCTACACTATTTTTATTGTTACTCTTTGGGCTATTTGGAAGAATAGGAACCACAAAGTCTTTAATAATAGTGTAACTAGCATTCTTGACAGTGGCAGGTTCATCATGCATTATTCTAATGATATTCATCAAGCTTTTGTTTTGTCTATTGTTAATCCAAAACCTGCTTTTCGACTCATTTCATGGTCTCTCCCACCTACAGGTATACTGAAGCTAAACACAGATGGTTGTAGAAGAATGGGAGGTTAAGGTGGATTCGGAGGTCTAATTAGCGATGAAAGGGGGTCATGGGTGTGTGGCTATTATGGGAAGCTTCACAGTGGCACTAGCTTGGAGGCTGAACTATGGGCGATCTACAAAGGGCTCACGGTGATTTTACAAAAGGGAATGAACAATGTAACCATTGAGACAGATTGTGAGCAAGCAATGAAGCTGCTATAAGAGGAACCAAATGCCAAATGCCCATTCAAAGGGCTGGTGGAGGATGCTCGTATCATCATGAGAGGTTGTGAATGCACTGTGCGTCATGTGTATAAAGAAGGCAACCTTTGTGCTGATGCTCTGGCCAAATTTGGTGCTACTCAACCTGAAGAGATCTTAGTGGTTAATGAACCATCAGCTATTATTAGGGAGTTCCTAGTTACAGACATGATTGGCATGTCTTGTGAAAGGGCCTAGGCTTGTGTTTCCTTTTTTATTTCCGTTGTACCTAAAAAAAAAAAAAAAAACGGTATCACACTATCACAAAAAATAGATTTAGAAGAAGAATTCTGTGAGTATATTGCAATTTTCCACATAACTCTAAAAACCAAAGATGACAAATATTTCAACATGATCTCTCCTTGGCTGGTACCCTCATAACTAATGTGAACTTTACCCATGCTCTAAAAAATATTAGTGCCTACTCATCAGATAAATCAGAGTTCATTTAAATTAGTCCCTAGAAAATGAAATATCTTCAAACACAACTTTGATAATGATTCATCAGAAGCCTCAGATTCATCAGAAGCCTCATCTACGCATAGATGCATGTATTAATATATATATATATATATATACACACACACGCAAATGACATAACATCTGAAAACTAGAGAAACAATATGAAAATACCTTTGCATCCGTTTAGATACTCAAAGTTGCTCTTTGGAGGTAACAAAATCACCCATCTTCAGATGGATAGTATAAGAAGGGCAGCATGTGCTTTCCATCTCAGGTTTGTAAAGGAAACAGCCAGATCTTCTTCAACCTCTATCAAGAAGGGCTACAGGGAAAAAATATATTGGAGCCCGTGAATACAAATACATTTTAGTGAACATCTATCCATTTATCGTAGGGGACAAAATATTGCCAAAAGATCTCATTGTTAATCAATGAACATCACAACCACACCACCTTCCCTAAATACGAATTAATCAATGAACATCTCATTTCATATTTGGATTCATGCCCTAATAAGAGAGTCTCAACACAGTTTTCTAGTTTTATTTTATTCTATTTTTACGCGCCCGCACGCGTGTGTGTGAGAGAGAGAGAAAGCCAACAATGAAATTCTTAAGAGGCAAACGATACAATGCCTACTTGAGTTGAGTCCAACTCTTGGAGTGACAATAAGAACCATTTGATTTTAATGATACGATTATTTAAGTATTCCAGCAACAGGTTCAAGGCAAGACAAAGTAACCATATTGACTTCCGACTATGGTTCCAATATGCAGTATGTGTACCAAGTCTTGACTAATTAAACACGGTGAGAAGCAAGAGTTACCAACCTTGATAATGATCAACTGTCAAACTACGTGCCCGTAGACCTGCAAAATGGAGGCATACAAATTACTGAAAAAGAAACTACAAATAAACCTTTATCTAAGGCAACGTGTAACGGCTTAGGACGAACAAATAGAGAAGTATAGTACATAATTATTCACTAATGAACACTCAAAACAGTTTAAATGGAATTCAAACCTCATACAATAAACCCTTTTTCACAAGTGTGCTTTACACAAGAACTAATATTTGTGGCTCCTTTTTTAACATTTTAGATGGACGTCTATGTTTTATGCTTAAGAGACAACATGAAAGAGAGGTATAAATTTTAATCCCCTTCCCTTGGCCAATCAG